CCTCTGACCACTAACAAAGGGGGTAGTGTATCTTGAGAACTCTGTGTATGACTAACTGACATATACAATAAATACAAATGGTACTACAGTAACAGATTGAAATTATATAGTTCATTTAAACCTTTTTCCAACTTCAGCTTAGCTGCTGCTAAAGCACACAGGAAATAAACATATTGAGCTGTCTGGCACCAGGCAACTATCCAGGTCCTGTTCTGTCTAGCACTGTGCTAGGCTTATCCATCTAATCAACATTAGGAGGTTTATTTATGTGAGACAGATATATTAGTAATAAATTAATTTATTCAGTAGCTCGGTGGATTTATACATGTACAAAACCATTTTAGTAAAGGAGACTTAAAACTGAGTGACTCCACTACTTTTATGGGCTGTATCCCGAAGCCCTTAGCACATTCTAGTCTCCTCTTCACAAGACAAAAAAATACAACCCAAACCAGACAACCCCCCACACACAAAAAAAACCCAACCCAAAACAAAAAAACAAAACACATCACCTAAACAAAACACTAATTGAAGTCAAAGGAATGTTCACTGCAGCAAAAACTGCAAAAGACTTAAGAACTGGTGAAATACAAGTGAACATGAAGCTAGTTTGGTGGCATTTCAAAGGGTTGTGGTATATTTATATGCATTGTATGCAATATTCCATGTATAAAAGTCTGTTTCAATTTTTACAGCCCAAGATAGTCTGTGGAAGAGAAACAGTTTATGGAATTCAGAGGGGATATCTGGGTTTTCTTCATCACACCTATTTGTGCTTTAGACAGACTTTGTTTCAAGGCATTAATTTGACGTGTGAGTCAGGTCTGTGCTACGTTGAAGACTGTTTTCACTGATTCCTCTGTTGTTTTTTAGAAAACACGTCGGAGAATTCTCTTAGTGCTAAGGTTTATCCATTTCAATCAGACAGTGAGTGGCACATTCTCACCTCATTCGCAGTTTTTAATTCCAATTGCTTTTGAAATGTCCCTTCTCCTTCCCCCTTTATGCTGCCACTTGAAAGTTGAAATGCAGCAAGAATGTAACGTTAGGTGCCAGTTTTCTGAATTACAGGGTGACTGCTTTAGCTGATCCCAAAAAGCAAGTGTCTTTTTATACCGCATAAAAGCCTGAAATGTTTACATATCAAAAGGCTATAGGCCAATTTCTGTCAAAATTATACATGAAGTTAAGCAGTACAAGCAATTTATTTAAACACTAGTCATTGTAGAAAAATTCAAAACCATATGCTCTTTTAGCAGTTTTTCACAAATGCATTTGACCCATGACTTGGCAAGACATGCATGCTTCATAATTTACTCTAAATTTCAAATCCCCTTGACATTTAAATAAAAGATCTTCATTAATAAAGTTTATATGAATGAAAACTTTAGAAGCTGATATTGTTAGAGGGAAGCTTTCAGAAAAAAAAAAATCCAGCCGCGTTTCTGCCTCGTATTCAAATGACTGACTCTTCTAATCAGTTCAAGATAAGTTTATTCTGGGAACAAATTACCGTAATTTCGCATTCTATGACTTTTATACTTTTTTTCCTGGTAAAGCAATGATGCAATCAATTTGAAACAAAGGTGGAGAACGCCGCAGGGTGATGGCATTTATAAGTGAGAGATGTGCTGCGAAGCGCCGTTTCCGAGAGGGTTTCGCCGCCGGTCATCCCCAAACCTTTGGTTCACCCCTCGTTCCCCCCGGGAGTGGGGCGGGAGCCGCTGCCCGGGGCGAGCCCCGCCGGCCGGGCTGGGCTGCGGCTCCCCGGGCCCCTCCGGGCCGGCAGTCCCGGTGCCGCTCCGGCCGCCAGGCCGGTCAAAGACTCCTCCGGGAAGGCTCTGGGGGCGCTTTGCATCCCCTGAATTGTTCTTTAATATATTAAAATTAATATATATATAAAAAAAAGTAAGATTTCTCAACCAGAGCATTTTCATAGACTTGTGTATGGTGATTGCTTTGTATGAAATCGTGTTTGGGTAATAATATTGAAAATCAGCGCCGTGTTTACCGTATTTCATACCTAACAGCTTGCTCTGCCCAGTGCTATGCTCCTCTTTAGATCCCTCTTTCAACCCATGCTGTGACCACCCTCCCGTAACAAACAATTGCTTAGCAACACTATGCAGCACAATTTGCTTGTGTTTCATTTGTTATTACAATTTCACCCCGACATTGTGTGACAACTGATTGTTTGTTTAACACAATTTTCCGTTTGCCAGGTTAGCGAAGAGAGCATGGGAAATGAGAAACTCCGCGAGCAGTTTTGAGAAGCGGGTATCAAAACCGGGGGTTTCACTGCAAAACGACTCAGGCTAAAACAAAACAAAACAAACCTTCCCCACTGGGGAGACAAGTTATTTGGAAAATATAATTTCTAAATTAGGAATAAAGGTAAGCGCTGTGGCATGGTGGATCATCCGTCAGGGGAGCAAGAAGCCCTTTGGGAAGCCGAGCGCCGGCACGGCCCGAGCTGTTCGTGCTCCGCCGGCCCCGCGGCTCCTCCGGTGCCCGCCCGTGTCCCGCGGTGCTGCTCCCACCTGGCAGAAGCCGGCCAGGAGCGGAGATGGAGCCCTGGCGCAAGTGATGCTAAACCCTCGAGAAGCTGGCCCCGGGTGTCCCCGCCGAGCGTGTCCCCACCTGCGAGCCCCCGCAGGACGGGGCTCCGCGGGCTCACCCGTTTCGTTCCCGAGGGGGGCAGTCCCGGGCTGAGCGCTGTCCCCGCCGCTCAGCGCCCGTCCCGAACCCCCCGGGCCCCCGCGGGCTGTTCCTGTCCGCGCCGGAGCCGGAGCCAGCCGTGCCCCCATGCCTGCTTCCCCCGAGGCCTGGCTCTCCCGGGAACCCCGAGCCCGGCTCGCCCGGAGCCCCGCTCCCCGAAGGGGGTGCACAGGCCGCCGGAGGGAGGGATGCTGCCGCGCATTGCTGCAGAGCCGCTGAGGACGTGAACGAGCATCCCGATGGTGGCATTAGGCAGGCGCTGCTCTGCATGCGGCGTGACCGGCTGCACTCAGGGAATTACTGACCAAAAAATCCCAACAAGCCGAAACTCCCTCTCCAAGCCCACCCACAAACAAACAAAACCCAAAGAAAACTCTCAAAACATCAAGAGAAAAAAGAATAAACCAAATCTAACAAAAAACCCGCCGAACCCTCTGTCAAATAGTTTCACTTTCCATCAAATTTGAAAAACTTGCACGAAGTTCAGGTCTAAATGCCAAAGGTGTAAAGAAATGGTTAGGCAGATAAATTGAAGTAAAAACCGATGCTGCTAATTAATCACACTGCAATGTACCAATAAAGCGAGAATTTAGTTTTGCCATTCTTTTTCTTTAACCTTTATACGAGTCTTTCGCTATGAATAGGTTTCAGATCATTCTCAGGTGCGATTTTAAATCCTGGAATATAGAGGAAAGGAAGGATAAAGATAAAGCTCGAGTAAGCGCTAACGAGGATATTCTTTGTTGAGGAAAAATAATGTGTTCCTCGTAAACGGACTCTAATGGCTTGTTTTCATTTCATGCGTACAATTTCCTACCTTCTTTGATGGAGAGTTGATGGGGTAAATAGTCTAATCTTATTCAGTTCACCTCCTGTGGATTCCCAGGGACAGTCGTGACAGACGAAGTATTCTGCAAATCACAAGAGCCAGCTACCAGGAGAGCCAAACCTCTCAATAGGAAGAGTTTTAGGGATTTAAAATTTCTCCATTTAAAAATTCACCGAACATGCAAAATATAAAGTTCTCTGTACCATTGCAACTTTACGGGCTTTGTTTTCTAAGCTAGATAATTAAAAATTAAAAAGAAAATAAATAGGTACCAAGATAGATCAGAAGCAAATCGGAATACCTACCACACCCGGGGATTTGAGATGACACTGGCCTTTAACATTTGCATCTCTTGGTTTGTTTTAAAAATAAAAATTGATACCTGTCTGAATCTGTTAAAAAGAGAAAAAAAAAAGAAAGAAAAAAAAAAGGAAAAGCTGAGAGAGAAGTTTACAACATTCACGTATCCACGTTCCGCCAGGTGACCTAGAAAAATAAAATTAAAAAAAAAATAAAATAGTTCAGTTACTTAGTGAAGACGTTGTTGCTTCACTGCATAAACCTTAAATCAGAGAAACACATACTCCTCAATGCCCTTTCAGTCCACCGAGCCGGGGACGCGAGATGCAAATCCTGCTACAGAAACACTTGGAGTGGGGGGGCGTTGCATGGTTATGTGGCAGTTTATTTTTTTTTAAAGTGCTTCTTAACCAGTTCGAAGCATAAATAATGAATCTGAGCTTTAGACAGAGGAAATCGCACCCACTAATGTGAACTAACACGACCAAAGTAGGCGCATAATAGACAAGACTAGGAGCTGCTAACCACTTCTACACAATGGCATTAATAAGATTAACCTGGGCAATTAGCCGGTGCAGCAGAGATCAAGCCTAAATCTGGGGCCTTTCTAAAAAGCCCACTAATGGAAAGGATTACGTTAATTTCATTAATTCTCAATACACAGACTCGGGCTGCTTTCACTCCTTTGTGTAACCCCCACCTCTCCTCCACCAAAAAAGGGGAGAAAAAAAAATCAAATCTGGTTTTGTTTGTCATCTGCATATTACCAGGAACTAAATCCAGGATGACGTCGCCTGGGTATAAAAAAGGGAAGAGGTTCAGATGGATTATACTCCGAGCAGCCCTCTGGGTTGAGATCAGTAAACAGGCGAGAGTTGAGGGGGGAAAGTTCCAGGGGTGGATCCTGCGCACACGCACACACACCGCACACACGCGCACAGACACACACGCACACTCTGCCCGCAAGCTGCCCTCGGGAAAGGCGCTGTTCTTTTCGCTCCGATTCCTTTTTAAAATTTATCCGAAAAGTTTCGATTTCGTGTCCTTCCAGCCTCTTCCCCCCCCCCCCCCAGCCACCACCTCCCCTCCCTCCCGCCCTCCTCCCTCCCTCCCCCGGCCGGTCCCCGCCGCCCTGCCCCGCACGGTTTGGGGCATGCCTGTGAGCATGTTCAGCATCGACAATATCCTGGCGGCCAGACCTCGCTGCAAGGACTCGGTGCTGCTGCCCCCGAGCGCCGCGCCCGTCGTCTTCCCCAGCCTCCACGGGGACTCGCTCTACGGCAGCGCCTCCGACTACGGCGGATTTTACTCCCGGGCGGTGGCTCCCGCCTCCGCGCTGCCGCCGGCCGTCACTGGATCCCGGCTCAGCTACAACAACTACTACTACGGGCAGCTGCATGTGCCGGCGTCCCCCGTGGGCCCTTCGTGCTGCGGGGCCGTGCCGCCCCTGGGCGCCCAGCAGTGCTCCTGCGTTCCCCCCGCAGGTAAGGCTGCCCCGCGTGGGACGGGGCGGACGGGCCCCCTTTGTTCCCGGAGCCGCGGGGCCGGAGCGGGTGGCGGGGAGCTGGCGGCCCGCAGGAGAGCGGCTGGGAGCCGGGGGCTCCTTTTTCGGGACGGGACGGGTGTGGGGGGAGCAGCGATCTCATGCAAAGCCTATCGTCGACTCGTCTGTCTGTCCGTAGGTTACGAGGGCACTGGGTCAGTCCTGATGTCCCCTGTTCCCCATCAGATGTTGCCCTACATGAACGTGGGCACTTTGTCCCGGACGGAGCTGCAGTTACTGAACCAGCTGCACTGCAGGAGAAAAAGACGGCACCGGACTATCTTCACTGACGAGCAGCTGGAAGCGCTGGAAAACCTCTTCCAGGAAACGAAATACCCAGACGTGGGCACCAGGGAACAGCTGGCCAGAAGGGTGCACTTAAGAGAGGAAAAAGTGGAGGTACTTTGCTTTCTTTTTCCTTCTTCAGCCCTCTCCCACTGGCACTCAAACGCGCTCGAAGCGGATGTATCGCGGTGCGGCTCCAGCCCGGCTCTGCCTGCGGAGGGAGAGCGACCGCTTTGCGGGGCAGAGGGAAAGTTTTTTATTATTTCCGAGTGCCCTTCCTTGGGGCACAGGGCTGTGAGCGATTGTCGGCTGGCGGCTGTGCCTCCTGAAGGCACCCGGCCGGTCCCACCGAGCGCTTGCTTCCCCCGCCTCTCTCTCCGCCGCACACCGGCCCCGGCAGGGCTCCTGCGGGGCTCGGGTCAACTGCGGGCTTGTATCCCTTTATTTTTATTTTTTCCCCCTCTAATAATTTAATTTCTTAACATAAATAGGTTTGGTTCAAGAACCGCCGGGCGAAGTGGAGGAGGCAAAAGCGATCGTCTTCGGAGGAGTCAGAAAACGCACAAAAATGGAATAAAGCGTCTAAAACGTCACCGGAGAAGAGACAAGAGGACGGGAAAAGTGACTTGGACTCTGACAGCTGATACTTCTAAGTGGGGGGGACATTTCCCGTGGACTGTCGGATACGCTCCAGAGGATGCTACTAATCTTGCACAAGATCTGCCTTGTTGGAGGGGGAAAATATCTGTATATAATGTACAATGCCCCGAGCTAAATCCATGTAAATAAAATGTGTTGCGGAGGTGTTGCACAGGTAGACGGCGGCGCGTTTGTTCACTCTGCGAGAGGGAGAAGGGAGCAGGGAGCGATGGTGCCCAGCTCCCCGGGGAGCAGAGCCGGCCGTGCCGGGGCGGTTCCGCGCTCAGCGCTGCGGTATCGCAGTGAAAGCCGGCGGAGGACAGCGCTGCCAGGCGGGCCCCGCAGCCGGGGGAGCCATGCTAGATCTTGCACCCTCAGGGAAGCGGCTGAGGCCCGGCCAGGCCCATCCCGACGGGGGCGGCCCACTAGGAGCCCGAGGGGGCCGGCGGCTAAGCCCGGCGCTCCTGGCGGGTTCCCGCGGCGCTCCGGGCCCGTTCGCCCGGCCGCGGCCCCAGCGCTTCTCCCGCCCGGGAGCGCTGCGACTGCCCCGGCCCGGCCACCGTGCCCTTGGGAAACACCAGCAGGCGAAGCAAACCCGGCCCCACACTTGTCACTCTGTCCCGTCCCCCTGCGCTTTCTCCTATCTCCCTGCGGTTGTGCCTTGCTGAGTTTCCAGAGCGTTTGTCTTTGACCGTCGTTTAGAAAAGCCATCTCTCTTCGGCGGTGTTTAAAGTTGTTGTTAATCAATTTTAGACATAATCAGATGAATTACACGTAAGGGGAGTACGAGCCCTTAGGTGCTGCTTTTTTCGGGTGTTTCAGAGGAAGATGCTAATGGAAGTTTTCTCCCCTTTGAGGCAGCACTTTTGCAATTACGAAAGCAGTGACAGCCTGGTCTCGTTTTACTCTTCCCTCTACGAGGGCCTCGTAGTAGAGTCGTCTATTCCCCCTTTAAAATACACGCTCGTTTTCCTTTTGCTTTTTTAGCTGCTCAGAGCTCTCCAGCTCTTTTCAGAGAGGAACCACGGCAGTTTCCCCATGGTGCTGCGTTTAGGAAGACCCTTCTGGCTCCTTGCCTAAAAGACTGCTCGTAAAGTTAAAACAAATAACCTGAAAGTGTAAAGCCAGTTCAGATGATCTCTGGCCCAAAAACTTCATGCTGTGCCTTTCATTCAAGGTTAAGTGGTAGGGAGCTGATTTTTCTTAATTATGGCAAATATCACCTGGATCTATTCATCTTGGCTAGTTTAGACAAATTGTTTTTTCAAATGTGCTCACCATTACTTCCAGTGACACCAGAAAGGTGCTGTGTTGCTTGCCCCTGTGCTTTTTTCTACTTTTTGTGATATATCCAGTTTTTTATGGGTGTTGTAACACGGGGCATACTGCAGGTGTTAGTGTGATAGAGTCTCTGTACCTGTCTGCTCAGATAACTTTTCAATGTTCATGTTTCCACCTAGATTTGGTATCTCTTTCTGAGCGATCTCTCACCACATCAAGATGTAGGAACAGCTGCCGTGGAAGCAATTCAGTGTGGTTTTGTCTGAGCCAGTTCTTTAGGGGGCTAAGAGTTTCACAGCTACTGCTCTCTTGAAGAGAAAATTTAGCCTCTTGTTCCTCAGTGCAGCAGAGGAGGAAGGATAAAAGCAAATGGATTCTTCTTCTTGGATATATATAATATTTTGGTTATATGGAGTTATTGTATTTTGGGGATTCTACCCTATTTCTGTGGATGCATATTTGACCTCTGTAAACTATATTAAATTACAATACAACAGCACTAAAAATTAGTTTTCAAATTACTGAAAATTAGATTTTAAAAAAAGTGTTTTGTTATGTTATACGCAGGAAGTCTCACTGAGTGAATTTTTTATGTCATCATGTCTGTATTTAGTCATTGTTAGGTTTTAAAGTACATATTTAATTTTCAAATAAAAGCCAGGTCTAAGGATAATATTGCCCAAGACTTTACAAATGCTTATATATTTGCATTATTTCCATGTGTAAATATCCCTACTGCCACAATAGGAGCTTGGAAAAATTTTGGTTTGTTTTGCATTTTTTTTGTGTGGTTGGTAATTTTGGAAGTCACTATTAAAGATCTTAGCTTGCATAGTTGAATGTGGGAGTTTAACTGTATCTGGGTTTTTAAGAAATGAGATTTAAAAGTATTTTTGATTACCAAGAGGAGTTACTGAAAGTTGCAGTACATATATTTAAAGATACTTAGACTTTTCCAATGGGAGCAATGGTTCCAATTGAGAACCATGGAAGCTCCAGGTCACCGAACTTGCCAGTTTATGGATTTATGGAGAACTGTTTGTTCTGTGGAAGCATGGGATGTGATGTAAGAATCAAAACTTTGTATTCCAAACTGCAGTTTCTATCCATGGAATTGTGATGAAATCACCTCTGATTTATTTAAAATCACATTGTACCTTTGTCTGTGTTAATTTTTGAGTTTTCTATAAACTCTTTATTACCATAAGCTTGATCAGTCACAGGTATCTATTGTTATTACTACATGTAAGTGTAGATCTATTGAAGTTAATAATATGACTTTAAAATCAAATCGGAAAGGAATTTTAATCTTGACCCAAAAGCTTAACCTTACTTACTAAAAATGGTGTCTGTGCCATTAATAGGAGTAGCTGTCTCATTCTTTTTCTCACTGGTGTTTGTTGAAAACCTAAAGGTTTCTTTCTCTCTGTTTAGCCTACAAAATGAGATTCTGTGCAGTATGGAAATCTGATAGTGAAAAAGCAGTGAGAAGGTTGCATGAAAAGGATCAAGAAAGTTGAAAACTAAATTACTGAAAACGTGAGGGGGATTGTATTAATAAGATCTCTCATTCACTCGTGCTGTTTTGTTGGAATATTCCATCTCTAGATGGAATATCTGGCTTTTTATTTCAGGAGAATTCCTACATGCTAAAATGCAAATTCCACGTAGCAGCTTTCATTATTTTCTCTTTCTGTTCATGCAGGAGGAACAAGTCAAAGCAAGGGACCCAAACATGTGCTATGTTCCAGCAGGTTTAGTTCTAACAAAGGGGCTTTGAAAGAGTTGTTTGTGGTTCTGTTTCTATCACTTGCCTAAAAAGGAGACCAAAAGAAAATTTTTAGAAAATGTATTTGGTTGGTTTTGTCTGTATCTTACAACCTTGTATCTTGGGCAAACACATTCTCAGAAGGTAGGATGGGACTGAAATGTGTTGTATTGTTCATGGTACTGAGGTACAGTCTGGGTTTTACAACTTGAGTTCAGCTTCTTGCTGTCTTACTGATTCTCAATGAAATGCTGGACTTCTTTCTTTCTAGATTTCTGTCTGTAGAAAGAATAATATTCCCCTCAGATCTCACAAGGGAGTTAGGTTGAGTGGGGGATTATAAGAAATGTAAGCTACTTTGGAGGTTCACCACTGTGTGCAGACTTAGTCCAGATAATGCTATGCATTATAGGAGTAATAACTAAATAATTATACAAAAGGAGCATACGCCAAATAAATCTCTCTGACACCAAGCTGGCTGAAGTTACAAAATTCTATTGCAAGGGAAAGGTAGGGAGAGCAGTGTGTAGTAAGAGTCCAGTGCAGAAGTTTTCTTCTGGATAGAGGCAGACATAGTAATGTGATGTGCTATCTTCATTGTGCCATCTGCATTTAGGTAGCAGAAAGTTGTATTTCTGTTAATACTCTATTTACCATAGTTATTTCAGTAGTTCTTGTTTCTAATAGTAATGCTGCAAAGCAGAGGTCAGAATTTTTTTTGTTTGACATGAAGTGATTTATTATCAGCTGAGAATCTCAACTTTTTTTACCTTTCAGTTTTGCTAATACTTGAGTGAACTGTTTTTGAGCTTTACTATAATGGGATCCTGGGAATATAAACCATGCAAACTCTTTCTTGCACGTGACTTGTGAAGCAAACATTTGGATTAGTGAAAGTTATAAAAAAATGCAACATTAAGGTGAGTTCATATTTTTTGTGCTCCATCTGCATTTATTGGTTCTCTGGGATTAAACACTGTGGAGCATAAAGGAACAAAAATTTAAAAGAGTTTTTGTTTTATATTTTACCCCCCTCGGGTTTTATTCCATTTATGCTTTTCTACTTCAGAGACCTGGTGAGCCTGGATTCAACCTAGACAGAGAAGTTTAGTCAAATTACCCTGTTTTTCTGGAGTTGCCACTTACCCAGAATTTAATTGGAGTCTCTTACACAAAGGTAACAATTATGGCTGCAAGGTGTTGGATTTTAAGAAATTAATGCAACTTTAAAGTGGCATATCTCTGTAAACTATCTGACAACTTTAAATGCAGAAGCCTGTATCTGGAGAATTCAGATACAGAAACCCAAATCTGGAGAATTAGAATTTAACATTCTTCTTACGCTTTTGTCTTCAGGGTAGAGTAGATGTCTACAGAGACTATATCCCTTGAGACATAAGGCAAGACTTAAGGCACAGCTGAATAAAACAATAATAGAGTAAGAGAAAGGCCAGGAAACTTGTTAAAGCATAGAATTACCTACAGTTGAATGCTGAAAGTTAATTCTCCTCTGTCTTCTAAATGATGTCTGAATACTGGTGTTTGCATTTTTTTTCTACTCCTTGCAGGCTTATCCTGAAGATTTGGAGTTTAAACCTCCAAACACATTGAACACGTGCAAGCCTCGAAGTTCTAATCATTCCTTTGCATTATATCCAGGAAAAGGGTCCTGCCCCAAAACTCCAAGCATTGAAATCCCACCAGAGTTTGCCTTTATTTGTGTATATAAGTACAAAATTATTATTATTATTATTAGTAGTAGTAGTAGTAGTAGTAGTAGTAGTAGTATTCATAGCCTTTCTGAGGGAATTTATTAAATGCTTGCTATGCAGTGACTGCAGAGTACATTCCTTGCAGTGTGTGTTGGGTTTTTCACCTTCATTATACCATGAAGCAAAAGGGACAATTTTGGTGGACTGTAGCCTCCTTACTCAACAGGCTGCTTGCAGAGTTTCTTCTCCCCTTGCTCTCCAGGGTGGGTACACCTCTGGACATGGCAGACTCAGTATGTTCTTTTCTGGAAACAAAAAAGGCCAAGGAATGGCGAGCCAGATTGTGATGGTGTCAGTTCAGCGATTTGGTTTGTAGGGAAGCATCACAGACTGAGCTGCAAACCACAGCGCTGGAAC